ACTTTATATTTTTTATAAAATCGATACAACAGTAGCCGAACAGGTGTTTCTCTTCATCAAGTCAACTCTTTCAATGGCTGATTTAAAAATCTCAATTAATCCAGCTGTGATTACGACTGACAAGTGAATCACAAAATAAATCAGTCAACGCTCAACACTGTCCTTAACAGCTTGTCATTTTAAAATATCTCATATTTCCGAAATACTTATTTTTATTTACTGACAGCATAATCCGAAGTTTGGCGGTTGTGCGAAACGAAAAGTCATCAGATTTTTACATCCAGAAAGTGCCATTTGCTTGTCAATAGCTTAGTCTGGCACAGGGGCATAGCAATGGAGTACCCAATGCGGATTGAAATAGAGTGCTAGCAAAATTAGCCTTACGGTAGACGTCCACAAAAAATGCTCAACAAAAATCGAAACCGTTTACTAACAATGGCCTTACAGTTCCTCTATAGCAGGCGCCAAAATTAAACACTAAGCATGGATTAATCTGACGCCGACAGATAAAAGTAGGGTACCAAGTAAGGATCGAACTCACTTCACTAAATGACCTATGAAGATAACTTGTTATCCATCACTCTACAGAAAGTGTTCAAAGTCGAAATTCTCTGTAGATACGGGTTATTCGGATGGTTCGTCGAAATTCTCTGTAGATACGGGTTATTCGGATGGTTCGCCGAAATTCAAATCAAAGATAAAATTCACTTTCCTCGATACAGTGCGACAGATATTTTTTAATCGCTGATTCACTCATTTCAAATGCAGAAACCATGTTAGTTGGCAGTCGCTCGAGCTGTCACTTTTCAGCCATGTTTATTTTTATTTAAGTTGAGGGTATTTATTCATTTACATTCCGTTAAGGTAATCTTCAATTTCAAACGTTTTATCCAATCAGATAAATGTTGATAACCTTCCAGGAACACATATTTACATGTATTTTTATTTTATTTTATTACTAGCAGCGATACTCGGTACTAGATGGGCCAAGACCCTCTCTTTTGATCCACTGCACTACAGTATCGTTCCTTGGCGCATGCTATAAAATGGTATTCGGAAAATTGTTGTAATTTAAGAAGTTCGATTGGTTTAACTGTTTTGGTAATTGTTTGTTTTCGATACGGCAGGTCACAATATTCTGATTGATAAAAGTGGTTACATTTTCAAAACTTTCTTTACTCACAAGCTGTGATCTAAATGCTAGCATAGTTACCACTACCTGGGACAAAATTACTTTATTTTAAAGTAAATAAGCATTTTAATTATAAAAGCCATCAACAAGACAATCGCTTATTTATAAAGATTACAAAAGACCAGATAGAAATGAATAACAAAACACAGTTATTAAAAAATGATTTTTTTAAAGCGGAATATGAAAATTAGTTATTTCTAAGGTGAACATAAGCTGGACTAAGATATAAGACACCCGATGGCTGGTGTAAAAAATAAAAAGCACATTGATATAATGTTACAGTTTCATGTAATATTTTTACACACATATTTCATTTTCATGGTTTCCAGTGAATACACACAAAAGACGTTCTTCCAAAAATCATGTAACTATTAAAATAATTTTGCAAATACATCGTATTTACAAAATATCAAAAACTTTCTTTCTCTACATTATGTTCAATACTTTTTAAATATTAGACTAAAAAAACACTATGTTCACCATTGAATACTTATGCAGTTTAAAATAAAATTTGATTTCAGTTGCATCACCAGAAAAGTTCATTATATAGCGATTATATACATAAAGATTACATTACATAGCGATGGGAGAATTACCTATTTCTATGAAATGGACTCTCCAGTTATCATATGTGCCTCATTAAATATACATTTTCGCAATTCTTTTGTAAATGTATAATCAGTTTATTATTTAATGACAATAGCAAACCGATCCCACTTGATGTCCAGTAAATTAATCTTGGTTTATCCTTGACGTAAAAAAAACTAACTGCATATTTTAAGTCCTTGCTAGATCACCTGCCAAGAAAATTGGTTCAATATGTCGTGCTAAACATTTTTCTCTCCAGAATCTATCTTTCATATATATATATATATATATATATATATATGTGTGTGTGTGTGTGTGTGTGTGTGTGTGTGTGTGTGTGTGTGTGTGTGTGTGTGTGTGCCATTCGTCCATGCTTAGAATATTGCTGCCACATATAGCCAGATCTCCAAAGAAGAATCAACAATATTATTAGTCTTGAACTGGCATCTCGGCTTCAGTCACTTTCCTAATGTCGTAAAGTTGCCTCCCTGTGACTTTTCTATAAATACTTTCACAATAATTGTTCGGATGAACTCTTCGCTATGGTACCTAAACTTCATGAATATAAGCACAGTACTAGGTCTCATAAATTTACAGTTGAGTTGGCTAGATGTAGCCGTAAGTTCTATGCTAACAGTCTATATTCTCGCACTTCTCACTAGCCGAAATCCCTTCCATGCTTTACGACCAACTTTGATCTTCAAAAATTTAAATGCTATGTCAATCGCTATCTACTGTCCCCCTGATTACTCTTACTTTGTTTTCACTTCTTAGCAATGTTTCTGTTTTCTAATTCTTCCACACCCAGTAACCCTTTGTGTCTCATTGGCTTTACTGCCTTACTTGGGATAAACTTGCTTATATATATATATATATATATACACACACACACACACACACACACACACACATATATATATATATATATATATATATATATATATATATATATATATATATATATATAGGCGTATTAAAGAGAGAGGAGGAAAGAATGTAGAGGAGGTAGTAAGAACGGGAGAGAAACATGGGAGGAAAGGGAAGAGAGAGCGTAGGAGAGAAATTGAGAGAGAGAAATGTGTATTGCATTTTTATCATTGCGTATTTACAATTTCCCTTTTCAATAATTTTGTAATTTGAGTTTCATTTACTTCATTAAATCCTGCTATATATATGGAATCCGTTATAACAAACATCGTGTACTGGAGTTAATAGAATTGACCATAGAATAGGAATAGTTTCGCTCGACACCGTAAATTCATACAAAACAAAAACATTAACCTAAAACCTCGGGTGACGTTCTTACATTGACTCATCAGATTGAGACTTTCATATGAATGTCATACATTACAAAAATAGCGCCAAACACGTTCAGAAATATCTATACTGAGCGTAGTATATAAATGGCTTTGAGTGAATAAAGACTGGAGGTCTTAGCGAGGATCATCCTGACTCAAACATTGTGAACGGGCACTAGAGAATTACAAAGAACTGTAGGAAATAATAGAAGCCACATTTCTTAAAGACAACGTCAACAACTAATGTGGATATCATATGTAACTGGACATGAAAAAAAAATGATATACTCAAGATGTTGACGTTCCACACTACGTATAGAAGGTTAGGAAGGAAACCTCCATTAATAATGGAAAGAGCAATAACAGTTATTGGTCTTGAGAAATATATTTTTCTAAAAAATAGTTTTAAGAGAAAGATATTATAAATTTCAATCCACAATGACACTAGCTTCTTGGTCAATGAATTCCCGATGTTTCCTTATAAGGAACCTATAAACCTTACCATTACAGATTAGGAGAACAGTTACAACACTTTGATCCCAGCCTAATGGCCAGAGTGAAGGGGGGCGAAGAAAACTCCAGTAACACTGGTTACTCATTCAATGAATGCCTAATGTTTCCTTATAAAGAAACGACTAATATTATTAGGACATTGAGTATATTCTCGCTGTTTTCCAACAAATGGCGTTCCCAGAACTGCGTGCGTGTAGTTTCAGCAACGCATCTAAAATAAAGTACTACAAGCAAGCTTGAAATTCAGTGTATGTCATTTAACGTTAAACATGTCGGATTTCGTGTATTTGCGGGGAATTTTACTGCACTACTTTATTCACTAGAAATCTGCAGCTGAAGCACACCGAATTCTTGATGAAACTTACGACGTCCATGCTCTGTCGGAAGCAACATGCAGAGATTGGTTTTGACGCTTCTAAAATAATGATTTTGATGTTGAAGATAAAAAAAACTCTCTGACGTACCGAGAAAGTTTGAAGACGAAGAATTGAATTGAAAACATTAATTCATGAAGGTTCATGTCAAGCGCAAGCGGAATCATTAGGAGTTGATTGTACAACAATTTCGAGACGTTTGAAAGCATTAAGAATGATTCAAAAGCAAGGACATTGGGTTCCGCACGAGTTGAAGCCGAGAGACGTCGAACGGCGTCTTGTCACGTATGAACATCTGCTTCAGCGGCAGGAAAGGAAAGTTTTTTTGCATCGTGTCGTGACTGGCGATGAAAAGTGGATACACTACCATAACCCTAAGTGTAGCAGTAAGCCCGGCCATGAATCAACATCGGCGGCAAAGCCGAATATACATGGTTCAAAGCTTCTGCCCTGCATTTGATGGGATCGGCTTGGTGTAGTTTATGAGCTGCTTAAAACGACCGAAACCATCACGGGAGATCGCTATCGACTACATTCGATGTGTTTGAGCCGTGCATTGAAGAAAAAACGGCCGCTATACCGGCAAAGACACGACAAAATAATTTTGCAATATGACAACGCTAGACCACATGTTGCAAAACGGGTGAAAAACCTACTTGGAAGCGCTTAAATCGGAAATCCTAACACACCAGTCGTATTCACCAGACATTGCCCCGTCCGATTATCACTTGTTTCGATCGATGGCACATGGCCTGGCTGAGCAGCACTTTCACAAGTGAAGATGGCAAAAAATGGGTCGACTCAAAAGACGTGTCGTTTTTCCTATGTGGAATTCAAATGCTGCCAGAAATATGGGGAAAAGTAGTGGCTAACGATGGACAACACTTCCAGTGACATGTTTCTTACTAATTTTTGTAAATAAACATTACTTTTCATGAAAAATCAGCGAGAACTTATTCAAAGTCCTAATATTACTATCATAAAACGAAGTAATGAGTAAATGAATTAAAGACATATTATCCTCTGATCTTGTAGATCGTCGAGTCGCAACACTTGCTTATTCATAGCGTCAATCAGGATAATGTTGATGAATTGGCGAGCAATGAATTATGTGTTCATGTATCTGAATTTATTTATTTCTATTCTTGTTCTAATTCGCACAGGTTTTCTCCAAGTGTCTTCCTCTATCTGGCTTACACTTTGCCTCCTCTATGGCTGCTTGAACTCGACCTCCTGAAGCGTCGTATAGAACATCGGCACACCAACGGTTATCTTCGAGCAACAGAGGTACAAAATGTCGCTTTCCTTCCAGGAAAGGTAAGTGAAACTTACGGAGCGATGAACGGTTTTATTTCTTCTTCTTTGTTGCTGTTGTTGATATTTCTGATCCTACTAAACTTTTCTATAAAATATAAACCTGTTAAAATGATTTGTTAACAATAATATTAGTTGATGCAATAATTTCTAGCATTTACTGACAAGAAGTACTGCGGAAATGTTACAATCGGGTTAGTTCTTCTCATCTACGAGTAAGTGATGAAAAACTCTTGGACCGACTCACTTTCTAAATCTGTTCAAAAAACCAAACATCAAATTTTTTTACGAGGGAAAGGGCTGATTAGTCGGATTTTTTTAGCACCCGTCTATATATATATATATATATATATATATATATATATGTTCTAGCTAGAGGTTGAGACCTGTTGGATTGCTTTTCGAAGAAAACGTAACATTTGGAATTGTTTCCAAATGAAACCAACAACTCATTGTTTAAAATAAAATGATGAAGAGAAAATATACGATTTATTTCAATGAGTGTCAAAATCTACCAAACACACGGAAGGAAACTATGATGTGTTTTTTATGAATTAAATCAAAACTCGACTTAAGAGCATATTTTAAACTTTACGAAAGAAAAAAAATATTCCAAGATTTTCCTCAAAAGAACTTGAAAGTGAGTGTGACAGTGTTGGCACAATAAGCCCTCAAATTCAGAAATAACAAGCCTTTCAAAAAAATTATCTAAACTACCACCTCGACCGACTGGTTTTCAAGGAACGCTTGGTAACCTCTTCAAAAAATGGATCGACTCAAAAGACGTGTCGTTTTTCCGACTTGGAATTCAAATACTGCCAGAAAGATGGTGATTTCAGAGAGTTTGTGAGCTCCATTGAACATTCAATATTTCAGCAAGAAGAATGATATCTCATAATTGCCAAAAGTTTAGGTTATGCGGAACGAATATTATGTGGGACATCATTTACTACCGATGTGAATTTACAGCTCCATACGATTAAACAGAGACATCATGAATTTGTCAAGGTGTCTGCTATTCCTTTGGATCGGAAAAATTGTTTGTCATTAAAAATGACTGATGCACACACAGACACACACACATATATATATATATATATATATATATATATATATGCGTGTGTGTGTGTGTATTACTAAATATACATAACCCCACACCGACAGTACAACTCGGGTTTGATGCTCAATACAATCATCAGGTGCTAATTTGAATTTACACCGTTTGGTTAATATTTCGGCGTCTCGCGATAGTTAATGATCCTAAAAAAAATATGAGCAACACCAATATGTTGAACAAAAATTTAATGAGCACCTGCTTATACAGAATTAAATTCCTACTCAAGCATGCTGACCCAGACTTTGACGCTAAATATACCGGTTTTAATGTTGTCATTATTATTAGTAGTAGTATCTATTTTTATTATATAACCATTATTTTTATTTTTATTCTTATTTTTGGTCTTACTATTATTAATATTATTATTATTATCATTATTATTAATTATTTTATTTTTATTATCATTTTATCACTACAAATCTTTTTATTTTTATTAATGTATCGCTATTTTTAAGTAAAAAAGCAGTTACCCCGTTTATCCTTAAACTTAATTTAATAACAGCGTCCGTTTTTAACGAAAATTTGAATTAGAATTCCTAATAATTATTTTTTTTTCAATTTTAAATGTAAATTTGAGCCTAAATTAAAATTCAAAATTAGTTTATAGTGAAGTTAGATATTTACTCATAATAATTCACCCAAACAACTACCTTATCTCGCGAGAGCCAGAAATATAAATCAAATGGTGTAAATTCAAATTAGTATCTGATGATTGCATTGAGCATGAAACTCTGAGTTGTACTGTCGATGTGGCGTAGTATGTATATTTATTAATATATACTTAATAGCTCTGTTATTTAGCACTGAGCACTGTTTTTCTTACACCAAAGGATTTATATATGTATATATTTGTATTTGAACACTTACACGTACATTTATTTATATTTAGCCATTTGAGTATATATATATATATATATATATATATATATATATATATATATATATATATATATATATATATATATTATGAAATGGACTAAGTCCGATAATTATTTTAATATATTTATTGCTTATACGTTATTTTTATACATACAACTCTTTAAGTAAATACTCTGTTTAAAATAAACAGTATTAACTACATTTAACGGCCTATAGAAAATGTGTGTACTCTGACAGTAATCGAAGCTCTATCCTACACGGAACTGTCATAGGGCCTGATGTGCTATATCATTTAGCTACAGAGGAAGCGTCTGGTTAGCAAGGTTTTAGTTTAAAAGCAGTAATTCGACCTTGCTAACAAGACGCTTCTTCTGTAGCTATCTATAGCACGCCAGGTATATTATATATATATATATATATATATATATATATATATATATATATATATATATATATATTATTATTATATATTATAAATATATATATATATATATATATATATATATATATAGTAGCTATTTTTATATATAATAATATATATATATATTATAAACACTACCATATATATATATATATATATATATATATATATATATATATATATATATATATATAGTAGCTGTTTATAATATATAATAATAATAATACTATTATATATTATAAACAGCTACCATATATATAAATATAAATATATATATCGGCTATTCACTCACTTAAGAGGTTAATCATATCTACAACATAACTCTGCCGTGAGGATTTTAAAGTTCTATTACACTACTGACAAGCACATTTATTTGAGACGTCTGTTTGTCCCGTGCTTTCATAAATGATATTATGCACCTTTCCATGCCGAATGTGACTAGACTTGTTCTTAAATTGCTTACGACACATATTTCAAATCAATTCATCCTGTTTACGGTAATGTTTATTCAATCTGATGTCTGTGCACCTGACTCCGTACGTCACTTTTCAGCCCAGCTTATTATAAACAAATACGATCATTTTGTTCACAATGCTAACAGAAAAACTATCACCACGATATCTTGCTACCAATGTCCCATCTTTCTGGATTACGGCCCATGAACACTTGGTTTAAAGAGTGGAGCGGATAATACGCACATCGGTCATCACTTTAAAATATCTACAGGGCAGTTCTAATCTCCTGCAATCAACGTGCCTATAACATTCATGGCAAACACTCCGAAATCTTCGTGATGACATGAAACCTCGACGGTGACATTTTGAAACAGCTTTTTTAAAAACAAAAACATGTAAATGATATAATTTCGAATTAATCTCAAAGATTCATTTAATCTCTTTACAGATACGTCTCCCCATTTCATTGGATCCTGAAAAATGGGTACGCATCTTACAACAGGTCCTCCTCCTCTTGTTAATCATCGGCCGATGGCTTCTTCCCAAGGGCAGAATTTCACGTGAACAGCTTTCCCAGTTGCTGCTTATCTACATCGGGATGGCAGCCGACATTATCGAATTGTTTGAGGCGTTCAAGGAGACTGCTGTCATGTACAGCTGGGACTTAACCGTCGTTATTCTTTCTCTATGGACAGCCAGTTTGCTTCAGTTCACGTTTGTCGTCGGTACAGACAAAAGCCAAAACAACCGCAGCCCTGTCTACGTCGAAGAAGCTGGTAACCAAGCGATAACTTCAAGTCGGAATGGGATGCGTGATCAGAAACATGCTTGGAGCGAAAACGTGACTGATGCAGAAGATTCTGTTTTGTCGAGTCGACGTCGTCATCATCGTCGTTGTTCCACTTCTGGTCGCTGTTGTCATTGCTGTACAGCGGACGCTGTGTCCATTTTGACGTCAATATCTTTACAGGACGGACCGTTCCTCGTTCTGCGCATGCTTCTAATCTTTCGTTACAACGTTCTAAGTTACACCAACATCTTTTTCACGTCAAAAAATACGCTTGTCATTCTGTTACAGGTTTATAGGCTCACGGTTCTTTATTGGGAGCGGCGACATAAGAAAAAAGTCAAGAGAAACAATGAAGAAAACGATCAAAGAAGAGGAGTTGTAGCAATTACAAAAAAGGGACCGGTCCGCGCCAGTGGAGGGGACAGTGGGCAAGAAAAGGATGAGTTTGGACTTCATCAGTCAGAACGGAAGGGTCATCACGGAAGGAAAAGCAATGGTTGTTTCTGCTGCACTCATCAATTTAATGTTGATGATTTAGTCAAAGATCTACAATATAGAAAAGAAGAAGAAGAAGAAGAAGAAGATGAAGAAGAAATTGTTATTGATAAAGAAGATCTGTGTGAAGAGTTAAGTGAATCCGACATGTTCGAAATAGTGACGTGTCCTTCGCTTAAGGATTCGTCAATGTGGGAAGACTTTTCATGTCCGCCTTCTACAGAGTTTTGTTCATTGAAGCGAGTAAAAAGTCAACAGTCAGACGAAAAAAGAAGGCGTATTGGACACCGAAACGAAGGAGATGTTGAGCCATGTCAACGGCATCGATATGATTGCCACAGCTGCAAAATAGAAAGTGAAACACCGCAAAAGTCAAATGCAGAATTCCGAGACAAATCTCAAAAGTTACCAATATCGCTGCAACGTCAACAGAAAACTAATTCTTGGGAAATAAGCCAAAAGAAGAAAAATAAAATGAATAAAGAGGAAGAAAAAAATGAGAAAAGCAGACGCTTCATGAAAATTCTTAAAGCAACACTTCAAGATGAACAGGAGGTTGAACCCGTTCGGCAGCTAAATCAAACTTCTAAATCGTTAACAAAATCTTTCCGAAAGGATCCCAAATTGAAACGGCCTAAATTATTTCAGGTTGCTGTAGAGGCCCGAAGGCAGAGCGAACAATGGGAGACAGACTTTGCAGATAAAGAAGGCTTAAAACCTGATTTAAATGAAATGGCAAGATGTCCAAATTGCGCTAATTCAGAAAATGAACCACAATATGGCCGTAAGCGAAGGCGGTTGCCTGAAGGCGTTGTTGTTTGTAGAATCAAAGAACAGATGCACAATGATTTTGTCTAATATTCAATCAGTAACAGGCACGGGCAATATAAAAACTACAGTCAATTTAACAAATATTATGATGATAGACAAAAATATTGACTTTAAAATATGACGATCCAGCTATGGATTAAATAGTAGAGCAGACTGGGATCTTTAACCTTGATTGGCAACCAGTCTAAGATAAGAACAATTCTGAATTCCAAACCGGCTGGACCTTGTGTTAGTAAATTCATCCCGTAAAAACTTGCTATGGAAATCATAGCATCATTGCCTACTGTGTTGAGAGTTGTGACCTCCATAATCCTCAGCGGTCTACGGGACGAGTGAGTGACTGTCAGTGAGTGAGTAAGCTCTGAGGTACACTCAGTAATCTACTTAACAAAATTCTTTACTGATAACAAGAAACACGCTCGAACACACACACACATACATATATATACATATATATACACTGCGTACCAAATTATTATCGAGATAACTTTTTTATAATATTTCAAAAACCGTACAATCAATTCACACAAAATTTTCACACAATATTGGCAACACTGACCTACGCAATCACTGAAATTATCGTACTGATCTGTTCAATGTAAACAAACTGGCGCCACCTTTGTTATCAGCACGGTGATTTGAGCGTGCCAAATTATTAGAAAGGTTGAGTAAAATTCCCAGAATTGAGCAAACAAAACGTTTATTAATGTTGCACGTGAATGTTTATGATCAAAAGAAGATAATGAATAAGATAATCAAACAAATAATAACAGATACAAACAAAGGCACAGTTTTAAACAAATTAATAGGGAATGTGCTTTCCCTGTTTTGAAATTACTTGAAGAAGTCGACGATCAATAGAAATTGTTAATTGTAGGATGTCATCTGCTGTAATGCCGCGAGATATGTCAAGAATTGCTTCCCACAACTCAGCGTTGCCCCTGAATTGTCGTCCGTTGGCGTACAGTCTTCGCTTCATGATGCTCCAAAGGTTTTCGATTGGGTTCAAATCCGGAGAATTTGCTGGCCACTTCATTTTTCGAGGTCCATCGAAGCCTAACTGTTTCAAATATTCAGTAGTCTTGTGAGCAGTATGTCAGGGAGCATTATCTTGCATAAAAACAATGGCCCTTCTGAAGGCAACTCTTTGCCTTTTCATCCACCGTTCAAGATGCTCCTTCATAAACGCTATGTATGCATCAGCAGTCATTTCGACGCCATCGGGTACTCTCCATGGGCCCACTAATGTTTTTCCAATAATACCACCCCAGATCATTATGCCTCCACCGCCTTGTTGTCGTCTCAAACGCTGATGGCGATTCTGTCCGTTCATTACCCAGCCTTTGCACCATCTATCTGGCCCATGAAGTGTTGCTCGAGTTTCGTCTGTGAACAAAACTTTAGAGAAGTCAATCTTTATATTGTCCTCGGCCCATTTCAATCGATTTTGAATGTGATTTCTCGTCAACGGTGGCTTCGATACAGGTTTGACTGTTGTTGCTATTCCCCTCAGATACCGACACCGAGTACTTTTAGACACAGTAGGATCCCCAATGCGACTGAAAAGCTCTTGACTGGTAAGTCCAGGGTTCTTCGTAGCCTCTCGTTTAAGTCGAGACACGAGACAACGTAAAATAACCCTCGGCTTGCCTTTATCTGCCCTTTTGCGTACTTGTGTAGGGTCGGCGGAGAACTTTTTCACTGTTTGATGACACCTCCCTATAATTTTTGAAATTTCTAGGGTAGATTTACCTTTTGAGAGTTCTGAGGTGATAGTTTTCTTTTCAGCATTACTTAAACTGCTTTTACGGACCATCTTTTCACTAAATTCTTACACTTTTCTAATAATTTGGCACGCTCAAATCACCGTACTGATAACAAATATGGCGCCAGTTTGTTTACATTGCGCAGAAAATTTCAGTGATTGCGCAGGTGAGTGTTGCCAACATTGTGTGAAAATGTGTGAATTGATTGGATGGATTTTGAAATATTATAAAAATTATATTATCTCGATAATAATTTGGCACGCAGTGTATATATATATATATATATATATATATATATATATATATATATGCATGTGTGTCTGTTTATCTATGCTATAAAAAGTGTAAGTAATTTTGCAATTGCATTGTGCCTCTATAATATCATAACCATTGCTCTGTTGCTCTGCATTTTTTGTTTATGTTCAATTCTTCCGAAACATTCACAACTAAAAGTCAAAAACAAAAAAAAAATATGAACTGATTTTCTTTGTCACCAATAAAAGCAAACAATTCGCATAAATAAACAATAAAACTAACATGTCGAATAAATCAAAGTTAATTTTGAATTTACTTTTAAAAGATGATTTAGCTAAAAATCCAATCACAATTTAAGAATTCTTTAACGCATGATTTCTAGCATAAAACAAATTACCATTCGTAACTTTAATTCATAACTTCGAAATAAAAGTTTTCAAAATAATTTTCTTATAAAATAGCAGAAAATTCGATTTCTACGACATCGGAATCGTTCATTACATAAAGATGAGTAATTCGCCCATCAAATGGATTCTTTCGGTAGCGTAGTAATTTGTCGCACACAAAATATGCTCACCTTAAAGATGTGGGTATTTATGTTGATAAACATAATTTGGTACATAAAACAAACTAAAAAGTTGATCATACTTAATATTATGAATTCATTTGTTTTTAGAAATTCCAATGTGAAAGATTTTCATTGTTCTGTAATCGGCAAGAGTATACAAAACTTCAGCTTAATTTTATGACAAAGACGACACAATTGAATTCGCCAAACATCTTTCAAAAGAAAACATTTCTGTTTCGATGAAACTTACGCTTTTATTTTCAGAGGAGCGTAGAAAGATTTTAAAATATATCTGCAAGCTTTTGTTTGTATACTTTTTGTTTTTAGCTTGTTCATCGACTCCAAAAATCAAATCCAAGTCCTTACACGCTTAAATAATAGGTAGAATCCAAATATGCGGCTCAGAATTTGGAGAGAAACCCTTTTATTGGTTTTGTATGAAAAACAAACGCAGCTGAATTATCACTAATTAAAATGTAGCATAGATATTTTTGAAATTTAAAAATTAAGCAAAAGTACATCGCAACGCCTGCGTTCTTTCTGAAAGTCCCACGGACGCTCACGCAGCTTAAACTTCGTATTGAGGTGTATTTTAATTCACACACACACACACACACACACACACAAACGCACAGACACACACAAACAGACACACACACATATACATATATATATATATATATATATATATATATATATATATATATATATAGCTGAATTTAATTCATATTTTGAATTCATTTTACCCAATATATGTGCGTGTGTGTGTCTTTGTCTGTGTCCGTGTCGGCCTTTGCAGGAAAAAGCGTCATTAGAGCCGACGTACTCTAGACCGACTCAACCACGCAATGATCAGGCAGTCGAAAAGTGCCTCATAAACCCAAATCTTTCTCAGATTCTCGAAAGATTCATCTCTGCTCAGTTTCGTATCCAAACGTAAACAAAGCAATTTCTAAAGAAAGAAATGGATAGATTTTTTTATTTATCAATCCTCAGATTTTATTAATTAAAATTAAATTATCAAATTAAACGTTATTTTTAGGGGATACTCATATTTGAGTAGACGCTCCGTTTATTTATTAAGCCCTATTTATTTATTTACGTATACCGGCCTGAATATTCGCGAAATCATATTAAAGAAACATATGCACTTCATGTCTTTAGAATTTGCTTTGTTTGCGTTAAGGTACGAAACTGTGCAGATATGAATGTCTCGAGAATCTGAGAAGGATTTGCGTTTATAAGGCACTATTCGACTTTTCCTGATCGTTGATGCATTCCGTGGTTGAGTCGGTCTAGAGCAAGTTTGATCTAACGAATACACACACACACACACACACACACACACACACATATATATATATATATATATGTGTGTGTGTAATATATATATATATATATATATATATATATATATATATATATATATATATGAATTGAGAACATGGGTTAAATCTGATAAAATAATTGAATAAGGAATAAGTAAAACATTTATAAATTTGACATAATTCGCCATTTATTTTAGCATCAATTATGAGAAATTCTTGGGAATGAAGGAACACGGAGATATTTCGATATTTATAATTTATATATATTTATATTTATATAAGCCATTCCTAGAAGTACTTTTTTCTTTACTCTATTATTTTGCCGGATTTAAGTTATATTTTCAATTCATTCCGTCAGAACATAGAAACAACAACAAAAAACACGAACATTTAATTTTTCTGTACAATAACCTCTATTAACAGGTTACTTTCTATTAAAAGGTTACCCTCTGTTAAATTTGGGCACCTTGAGGTGGCGTAATTGGTAGCAAGCTTGTCTTGCTAGAACAATTACGTCTTAGTTCGATCCTCACTGGGTGCCTCATACTTTCGGCCTTGTGCCACATCTGAGCTATGCTTGGAAAATTACTACTCTCTGTTAAATTTCCTGCTTATTGCATCGTGTAAAACATCATCCCTAGAATCCCTTATAAAATACTCAAGCCCTTAACCCTAACATCTTTCAAAAACACGACGAGCTGACCAATGAAAACAGATAACATAGGATTCAAAATATTGAAACATTTCATGATTCTCAAAAATTTATGATGAAACTGAAATCAATATCGACACATATTAAATTTATAAATGTTCTTTACATATATATATATATATATATATATATATATATATATATATATATATATATATATATATAATATCGCATTTCCGTTTTAAAACAGCTTTCACTCAATATATTTCCGGCTTATCTTAGATCGCTATTTACAGTGAGTTTATAGTTTGTATTTTTTCTTTTTTCCTTTTCATCTGCTAAACATCATATTCCAAAAGAATTAGACAATTGCGACTTTTCCATGTTCACTGAAAGAATATAGTAAGTAATGTCAAAAGAAATACAGACAATGACCGAAGAATTTATGTCCGGAACATGGAATGTGATTGTCAATTTTAATGAATTTTACTAAGGAATAAAATTGGAAAATCTCAAAGTTCCAAAGACAATTTTCTTCCCTGAGGAATGTTTTTATCGCCTCCAACTTTTCTCAGTATCCAGTTCTGTATTATTCTGTGCAATAAAGCTCAAAGGAACGCCTCACCAAAACATTGCCTTTTTTATTCAATATTCTAGTTTACAAATGTCTCGCTTACAATTTTCTTGACTCGACAATTGGCGTGTTTCTAATAAGAATCGAAATTCCAAACATTTTGCGAGATATGCAAATCCCATAGGGCCAATATATTAAAGTTTATGGTGAGGACTCAACAATAATGACCTGCTTGTTAACCATCACTCTCTAGCAAGAATCCGTTAAATATATATGAACTTTAATATGAAACAACAAACCTACAATTGTGAAATAACTGGTAAAGGTGGATCTTACTATCAAAGGTTGGCGAGATATGCAGGTACCATAGATACATATGCATTTAGTTTAGCCTAACTTTTATTTGGGTTCAAAGAGAAATTTTAATATCGATTGAATTTATTGGCAATATCCAATAAAATGAACAAGCATCATAGATGCAGACTAAATTTAGTTTAGCTTGACACAAGGCCTCAAGAAAAGTGCCCTTTATAACGATTGAATATATCCAGTGAGATGAACAAAGACTCTAGGATGGCACAAGGACACAAGAGAGGAGCACTTAATAACAGTCAAACTCGCTAACAATGTCCAGATGAACAAATGTCATACTTTCTTTTATCTCGTTTGCCACTAAACTACAGTTGTAAGGATCGTACTTATTACTGTAGAGCTCATTAACCATTACTCTAACGCACAACGCTTGTTATTCTTCAGCTTTCCTGTCTTATCTGAAATTCTGAGATAATATTATTTCATTATGCCATAGTTTCTTATAGATGTGCAGATGGTGTAATCGATAGCGAATTCAGAGTGCCGAGTTCGAATTCCAGTCGGGTTCGTTACATTCACTTAACCGCAATTACTTCCGGGGAAAAGTATAAATCCATCTCCTCCCATACGAGTTTAATAGTAGGACTTATATCTGGAAAAATCTCCGTTATCCTCAAAAAATTGTTAATGCAATATTCACTCGCAAGAAACGAATTATCCTTACTAACCAAAAACATGTTACGGTTTTAATTAACCTACAAAGGGTTGATAAGCTGTGAAAAACAAATCAGTCAATCAAAAATTATATAATCTATTTATTCGTCATCTTTGTTGTTTTAAACGTTATTATTAAACTTGGCTTCCACTGGGATGAGGCGTTCATGCTAGTGTCAGAGATCCATGTTCGATAAAGTATTTAAAGTATAGTGTTTATCTGAAAAGGATGGCCTCCCCCTCGACTCAAATCTCTCTCTCTTTCTCTCTCTCTCTCTCTCTCTCTCTCTCTCTCTCTCTATATATATATATATATATATATATATATATCACACATACACATTCTCTCATACACACACTCTCACTCTCTCTTACTCTCCCCTGTCCCCATTTGTCTTCAGCGCAGTGATTATCTACAAAGACGCAAACATTTTAACAAGTCGATTTAATATGCCTAATTTTATTCGTAATTTTGAGCTTGCAAAATTAAGTATAGTAATTAGCGTATTGACCTTACGTAGTCAAAAGGTATGACGTATCCCAGCTTATGTAAATAATCATGGCTAATTAATATACTCGCTCTTATGTAATAAGTCAAGGTTCAATCGTTAAAGTGATTTTTTAAGTGTTTCTCGGTGGTTAAAAGATTAACGCGTGTCTCGAATGTCTGAAGATTAATATGTGTCAGAAAAAATGAATATTTGCAGGTCATCAAATCCCAATGAAAACTTATGTTGTGGTTCGAATTCTCCAGATCGGCATCAAATAATTGATAGGTTACCATAAGTACAGAAGGGAGAAAAAAAGAGGACACAACAAAAAACAAAAGTTCGCCAACCGAACAACATGCAGTCAGATAAGTCAAACTGAAAGGATTCATTTTTACTAAAACATTAAAGATGAAAAGAAAAAGATTTTGAGACGAAAAGGATTTGGCCAACTCTGAAAATAGACAACTTTATTGATGAGGGAATAATAAATCCGTCCTGTGTTACATCACAAATTGAGGAGAGGACAATATTAATGCAAAGCTAATGAAAAATTAGAGTTTGACAGACTGAAATTTATCTTAAGCCAATAAAACACACAACAACAGCAATTGGCTGGTTAACTTTAACGCCTCAAAAACAAAACTGCTCTCTATTACTCATCACAGAGCACCAACCCTGCCCCCCCCATTAGAATGTCTAACGCTCAACTTCTCGAGATCTCCTCTTTGCGACTACTCGGCCTCACATTGACTGCTGACCTGAGATGGAACAAATACATTGAGTCAATAGCTTCGTCCACCGCTAAGAAAGTTGGCTCCCTGTGCCGCACCAGGAATTTTTTCTCGCCGGAATCGATCCTTCAAATCTACAAATCAACCATTCGCTCTTGCATGGAGTATTGCTGCCATATATGGTCTGGTGCCCCTTATGTTTGTTTCAAGGTTCTTGATAAGATCCAGAGACGGAAATTGTCCCTGATCTGGCATCTCGTCCGCAGTCGCTCTCTCACAGACGTGCCGTCGCCTCCCTCTGTCTTTTTTACAAATACTTTCATGGTAACTGCTCCGATGAGCTGCTTTCGCTGGTTCCCAGACTTCATGAATTTAAGCGTTCTACTAGGCTGGCATCTCGCTCACACCCTTTCACTGTCGAAGCTGTTAAATGTAGCTGTCTCTTCTACTCCAATAGCTTCATGTCTCGCACCTCTCGCCTGTGGAACTCCCTCCCCCTCTTCCTGTTTCCCTGATGGCTATAATCTCCAACTATTCAAATGTAATGTCAGTCGACGTCTTCAGATGCCTTGATCTATCCCCTATCCTTCTCTTCATCCTTTCCTCTATCACTCCTCTTTGTTCTAGCTCCAACTCTGTGTAACCTCTTGCGTGCTCGTGGCTTCCCGCCTTGCTTGGGGTGAAACGCTTAAAAAAAACAATTGCTGCCTCTTCACTTTTTAACATTTTAGTCGACGATAAAATCACAGATTTTACAAATACTCAAACTGAGTACAAGGACAATGTAGTAAAAAGGGATTCTAATATATTTGAACTTGTTCGTAATCAAGCTTGTATCGGTATGACAAACTCTGTTTGACGGCTAAGGTAGCTAAGTAATCTCATCAGCGCTAGTGATTCGATTTCAGACTCTGAATTTCCAGACAGGCAAATCCTCTTTACTTTGAAGTCTGATGCAGCACAGTTTTCTTGGCCTATTAAATTTAATTTAATGACTATCTATAAAATTGGTCTTACTTCGTGGCTGAAACAGTTACATCATTGGAGCCGGTAATCGGTCTTTGAGCCAAGTTTAAAAGTATTTTGAATGCTGATTAACAAAACATGCAGTGAAAACTAGCGCAACACTTCTCTTTCTAGATCCTAATTCATCGATTATGTCTTATGCTTAGTGAACATCAAGACCAAAACGGTTAATATCAAATGAATGAGTGCGCCTATTTGGTGGCGAAGAAGCGGTCAATGTTCAAAACCAGATAAAAAATAGGATACCTTAAATGGTCATTTAAAAAGCAATATACACGTGCACACGTACATACACCATGAATTTGCTCTGTGCCAAACTATGTTTAACATGGTAAACATCGTTCTACCGATAAGACAAACTTAGCAACCTGCAGATTTATCCTCTAAGAAAAGAAAATAAATTAACTAAATCGTAAAATTACACTGTAGCAATTTTTGCAACGAAAAAATGGTCCACTTTTAATTCTGACACATGATATCGAATGACAGCGACTTGTTACCCTCTGAAACAAAATATTGAAATTCTCATTTGATGGGTTAAGGGATAAAAACATTTGAACAGATGCATTTTCGCGCCTACATATTTAAGTTTGGCACAAGGCCACACATATGAGACACCAAGGATGAATAATAAACATGTATGAGTTTAGCGAGATAACTATCACTCCAAGGCCAGATATTTAGAATGATTAGTTTCTTATTGCACTCTACGCTTCACGGGTTGAATATAAATTGACAATATTTATATAGGCCTATATCTCTTCATTGCTCTACGGCAAGCAACAAACGTTTAACCAAATTTATGACAAGGATGTAAAGGAGAATAGAACTATAATGAGTTCGATCATAATCAGGTGCACCACATATGTGGCCTTCTACCAGACTCTGCTAAGTATCGTAAACATCAATATAGCATCTATGAAAGCAATCATTGAAGCCTCAATGAAAAGGGTAATGACGGGATAGAGGCTCTGATGTGTATTGATTTGTAGAAATAACCATTAACACAGAAAAAGCGGTCATGTTTTTTTTTAACGCAAAGAGGGAGGAAAAGAAAGAAAGATATAAGCGCAGAATGATCGATATTTTACCTCAGAAAGGTTAATATGAAGATTTATAAATTTGTTCTTTGCTTCAGTGTGTGTTGGGAAGTGGGGCATCAAAATGTCGACGTCTGCGTATATTCAACCGTATGAATTGAACTTGTGTATATGTGGATGGAATTGAATGATGAGCCCTTTGATGATTTCTTTGATGAGTTACTTTTACTTATAAAAGTAAAAGTAACTCATTTTTTCTTTTACCTTTATGATTAGATAGATAGATAGATAGATAGATAGATAGATAGATGTCCTTGGACTGAAGATTGCGTTCAAGCATGAAACAGACTGTCACCGCTTGGTGTTGACCTCAGTGTCGACTTTTATATCTACATACATTCTATTCTGATATTGAGCACTTTTTACGATAAATAACGCATACCTTAAAACTATATTTTCATCTCTCTCTCTCTCATATATATATATATATATATATATATATATATATATATATATATATATATATATACGTGTGTGTATTAATTAGTACATATACGTGTACCTACGTTTTTAGCCTGCGACTATAGTTTCACTGGGTGGAGTTCCCAGTTCGTCAGGCCCGGGGTCTATATTTGGCCGTTATATATATATATATATATATATATATATATATATATATATATATATATATGGCCGCATATCTTCATTCAAACATGTTTTATTGAATAATATAGATATATTGTGTTTATTTATTTTCCTACTGATCCTTTCTAGTTTCTTGATGTTAAGATGAAATACATCAAGGAAGCTGCCGTAGTTTTTTTTTTTTTAGTCCAAGTACTTTGTATCGTTTTCAAGATCATGTGCAAGGGTAAATTGCAAAGTAAATTTATTGTAACTGCAATAAAATCTACATTCTGTTGTGATAATGATCTTCCAAAACCACGCGCAAACGTATATTTTGCTTCGTTCTCCGCTGTTTTTACAGTGGCTTGGTATATGATATTACATTTCCAACAATTGCCGTTAAGGGACATTCATGTAGTTATAGGCAGGTTATTTTTCTGTTTGTGCATCTTTATTATATGTGTCGTTTTCTTCCTGCTACTCTGATTTTTAATTTGTTTCTCTTAAATAGTAATGAGAGATGGATGAATTTAATGAATATTTTTCCTACATTTGTTTTCACGTTTTTTTTACGGCTTTTTTTGTACTGTGGGATTAAGTGAGTGTTGTCCAAAATCCACTATCTTTTAGAGCTGTTTCACAATCTTTTTTGTTGGGGGGGGGGCTTCTTTGAAAATGGTTTCATTGTCAGATAACCTACGCTTAATTGATTGTGGGATCTGCTTTATTATTTTTGGTGGATGGTTGGAAAATGTGTGTATGTAAAGTGTTTTGTCGTTGGGTTTTCTATTTTTTGATTGATATGTACTTTTTCTTAAGTTGATTGTGGCGTCTACGAAATCTACTTTTAGACTCGTTTTTATGTCTATGTCAAAGCCTATATTTTTGAAAATTATGTTTTCACAAAAATGTTTAACAATATCGGATTTGACAATAGCCTGGATTAAAAAATTGCTTCTTGAATTTGATGACATAGTAATGATGTGTCATGGACTCAGTGGAATCGGGGCGAGAAACTAAATAAGAACACAACGAGTTATCTCCCCTAGACATGGTCACCGGAACGAGAACAATCGAAACTCTCGAAGGATACCTGGATCGGCAAGCACCTGATGAAAGCTGGGAGACACAACGGTCAAAATGATGTGGTCGTAACAAAAAAAGATGAGGATAACTGTCAGTTTTGACTCGCATAAAATATATTCACCTTAACGGATCAGTTGCAATAATTCCTATCTTTTCGGATCATCGAAAAATTTGTTTTTGAAAAACATGCGCTTTATTTATTTTAAGTGTATATAATGCCCAATCTGTTAAGGTTGATAAAAATAATTTTGATATACTTTCATTTATTTTATAACTAACTTTTAAGTTAGCTCCTGCGAAGTTCGCTTGTTTGGGCCTTTATCACAATAAGTAGGGAGCAGATGCAATAGGAAACAATAAACTACAGAAGAATTCAAAACTGATCTCTGCATTTAAGTATTTCATTAATAATTAAGCTTACCTTTTAAAAGTTCAACGATGAGCTATTGAGAGTTGTGTCCCTTTAACTGATATTTATTTCATAATTACATCGGAACTAAACAATTTCTTTGAAAAACATTTGTTTATATTAAAAGTCACAAAGTGTTTTTTTGTCTCGTTATACAATTTCCTGTAACTAGCGACGATTGCTTTTTCCAAATTTCTGGAGACTTGAATGCTTCTTTCCAGGTTAGGATCGATATTTAAATTAAAAAATCCTTGACGTCTTCAACAAATTTCTTCAAGTTCTTTTATATGGATTTTCTTCAGCCGTATTTTCAACTTTTTCACTTTTTATCTTTAGCTTTTTTAAATACTCGATGCTCATTGAATTGACGAAAATCGCTAAACTACAAACAGAAATGGGAAAATTTCTTCAGTTTTCTAGGAATTGCCAGAAAGATCTTTGAAATCATTGAATAAATGGACGCGTAAAACAGAAGATAGTCGCAGTTTTCCAAATTGCGGAAACTGAATTTTGCGTTGATTTGTCTGCAGAGGCCTTAACGATTTTGCACGTGTCTCTTAATAACAGGCTTTCTTCCCACTCAATAAAACGATTAATTTCAGTCGTTTTCACTCAATGCGAAGATCGACCTAATATCTTTACAATCTCTGTGATTCCTGTGATACAATTTTCTTCAATTTCATACATTTATTTTTTTTAAAAAATTTTGGTCAACTGAAGCAGCTTGGATCCACTACGCCATTAAATCAACCATTGACAAAAATAGAGATACGGTTCATCAACATGGGAATCGGTGCACCGTATTCAAATTTCTACTGAGACCACTTTTTTCATTTAGCAGTAAAGCCCTTGAGAAAGGCATGAACCCACTTATCCCTGTGCTTGAAATTTTCAAACTGTCTTCGAACTTCCTTAACAAAAGTAGAAATAAAATAAAACACTTTCTTCGGCACAGAATCTAAAAGACAAATCTGTGCTGAAAAATGTCAGCTTCTTTTAATTCAACTGTTAGTATTTTTGTTGTGTATTTATTAAACTTCCTTTAGAAACAAGAGAACAAATACTGCGCATCCAGTAAGAATCAAATTCACTGTAAGATTGTTCCTAACTCAACGTTATACAGAATGCATGTCAAGATCATTTATTCCATACGAGTTTTAAATTAAGAGTTCAGTCTGGAATGGTTAAAAAAAAAAAAAAATAATCTTCTAAGAACAATGCTGCATTATTTCGCTCCAAATTATTTCCCTTGGCATCTCACGCACATATCCCAGCATTCTTTCCACTTTGAAAATAGTCGGCAAATTCCCTTTCGTGATCATCATCAGCTGCCTCGTCAAGTTCTCCTTAATGTCGCCTACGGTTTAACTTTCTCTCTTCTGATTGGCTGCTAAGTTACATCAAGGCTGCGCAATTGGTCTTCGAAATATTAAAAATGGCTACAATGTTTCAGGATATGGGTCATATGTTTCTGGCATATCAGAATTCTCCTAATTAAAGAAAGAAACTATAATTTTTTTTTTTTTTAAACCAGGTGGGCTCAAATATTTATCCATAATAAGACAGCACCTTTACATTGCAGCAAGAGTAAGTTCAGGGACATACCAAGATATCTGCAGAACTAGGTGTAGAATGTTGATTAGAACATCGGGTTGACCAATTGTGGATTACTTCTTGAGTGTTGTGGTCACCAATGTTGAATTGGTTAAATAGATAACGTGGCTGCGTGTTGAGAAGGTAATAAACATTCATACATAATACAGTGTAACCCGGATATAAGAGAGTTGTCGGGACCGGAGAAGAAGTCTCTTATATCCGGGTCTCTCTTATATCCGAGTTTGGTCTATTTTATATACATTAACACAGGCTCTAATTTGGGACCAGAGAAAATCTCTCTTATATCCGGGTCTCTTATATCCGGGTTACACTGTATTTAAAACATCAAGGAAAAAACAATGAGAACCAATTTTGTTTAATGAAGAAATATATGTATATTAAATTCAACAATAATACAAAGTAGTTGTAATATGAGTGAAAAAGGGAGAAAAAAGTAGCTTCCCATTGACTGTAAGGCAATGTCTTGAAGATTTGTCTGAGTAAAATGTTCAGAGTTCAGTGTTGAAAATAGAATATTTCTTTCAGAAAATTGTTCAGTTGTTGCAACTTACAGAGTTGATTTAACTTGGTGTGACCACTGAGAACTGGTGGTGTATCAAATAAAGTTCTGTATTGTATGTATGTACGTGCGGAGTGAGAAGGATGAAATACACGAGCGAGTAGAAGAGATCTATTGTCTCTGGGTACACTCGACTGTGGTTCTGGAACTACTACTACTGGTTTTTTGGAATGCATCCAATATTTATACTACCTAGGATGGCTCCCAGCAGAGACGATGGAATATATTTTTGAATATACATGAAAAATATCCGATTGGACGGAAAATGGACTAATCAGCGATTTTGTAGCAAAGCTTGTTTTTGAACAAAGTGTAGGAACAAATTTACTATGGTGGAATGCGATAGATAAATTGTCCTGTTGTTTTTTAGTATGTATTTATTGATCAATTAGAATTGGAGAAAATGTAGGCATGGCACTACATAGGCAATATTTTTAATGACTCATCCTAAAATGCGACAATGAATCGTATATCGTATCGAACAGACATATTCTCCGACGCTAAGAATAAAATCTCTCACTCACATTTTGCCATTTGTTTGAATAGCAAATATATTTCGATTATCAAATATTTAATAATGGAAAGGTACAGCTCGACGGATAAATAACTGGTGCCCAGGCGAATTACTTTGCAACATCCATGGACATGCATGTATGTGTGTCAGCGAGGTAAATTGCTACATATGTATGTGTGTGTGTGTGTGTGTGTGTTTTGGTACGACTATTTATATAAGCTGGTCAATTCTGGCATTATGGGTAGCGGTGTCTATTGTATTATACTAAAACGGTTATTGGTTCGGCGGTAACGGTTATGTTTCGAATTATTTTCTAGAGATTATTAAGTAATAATAATTATGCATCCGAATACAAGTAGTAGTTGTAGCTATTTTACAGCGTTGTTTGTTAAATTTTTTATTCAATGTGTATTATTTATTACTTTATTTGTTGTGGATTATTGTTATTACATTTACATGTGTTTATGTGTGCATTCGTAGTTTGTTTATTATTTACTTAATACAGTA